GTATCTCTTTATGAATGCTCTACAAATAAAATGTACATTAGCAGAGTGCAAGTTCAAGTTATCTAAATTAAATAACAACCAGAGTAGGTAACAAGAAATAGAAACAAGAAGTTGTATTTTTATTCAGTTGTTCTTTTAAAAAGTGCTACTCAACAAGCCAAATTTATCATCAAACACAAAGGTTTTTCCTGCCCCTTGTGGAAGTTCCAGGTGGGTCGAAGGCCCCCAGGCAATCCTTTCTGACGTCACTCTGTTATTTGAGGCGGCTCTGCTCAGGTTTCCCACGAGGCAAAGGCTTCCTCTCTCCTGCTTGACCCCCCGGGAAGCAGGGGGTCACGCATCAGAGAGGGGAATGAAAAAGACTCTGATTTATGACCCAGTGTAGATACCTTCAGCTCACCAAAGAGTCATGTTACAGAAATGCTGCAGAGCAACCAAGCAGCAGTGCCAAATTTGAAGCTTTAGCTGCTCTAAGAAGAACCATGGCATCCTGAGCTCAGTGGCATGTTGCTATAGGTTAGAAACATACTTTTAAATGTGTTTATTGTGTGTCAGGACAATAAGCAGGTACAACACTGTGAATATTTGTGTCACACTTCTGTATATAAACCATTATTTAAACTACATTTGGTTGCTCCTCTTTTCCATTCATTCCAACAGCTCATCTTAAAGATTTTTTGTTTTAGTCCAGAAGACATTTCCACCTAAAAGACCATCTGCTTGAATTTAGACTGTCTGTTTTCAGTGCCTCAGCTGTTATTTATGATATTCTATTCTAGTTTTTAACATTAATAAAAAAACAACAAATCAATTCACCTTAGTCCAACCAATTGACATTTTACTTAGTAGCACTGATGGATTGATAGCATAACTTTCCTGCACATTATCTCCTGCCAGGCAAATAAACATTAGTCAATTTTCTCGACACAGATTATAACTCCTCAGTTAATATTGGATCCTGAAAATATAAAAGAAGATATTTTCGTCTGTCTTTACCAGGCAGCAATAATGCATAAACATTTCAGTGAAATCTAATATTTGCTTTTGGTTGAAACATAGTTGAGTTTTTTTTATGTTTAATCTTTTATTTAAAGCAATTAAAACTGCTAGTCACATACACAGATTGTAAACTTTATTTAATATGTGTTTTGATGTCTGCGATTCAACCTTTTGTCAGTAGACTTAAGGAAAAGGCTAGATGACTGTTATTGAAAAAGGAAAGGAAAAAAGTCCAGCTTTACTTTAAAATGTTTCTATTCTTTAAATTTTCTAAAATCCTAAATGTCAACCATTTAATTTGTTGTTGCTATAAATGCAGACCTCTTGGTCTGACGTCATGAAAGAGTTAGAGTTTTTGGTGTTGAAGCATCTGAAGGAGATAACAGGCTCTCTACAAAATATCCCAGATTATTTCCTACAGCATGATGCTGCAACCATTCCACAAGTATTTCAAACAGTATCTGATTTTGCCAAATGTTAGTAGGATTTAGAGATTTCTTCTTGTTACATCAAAGTCTCTGCTGTTGGAATAATTTCTATCTTTGTTCAGCATTTTACAGTCTTATTTGGCTAAATGAATATTATCATATTTTGCTGCTCCACAGAAATATTAAGTTCGGTTGATTATGCTTAGTGACAATATTTTCCCAAAGCTCAATTTAGAGTTTTAGACAGATTATTATATAAAACTACTGCTGCTGAGAGAGAGAAAAAAACATAATTTATTTAGATATTAGATGTTTTTCCACATCTGTAATTAAGTTTGCTTGAGTTAATGAATAATTCTTCCTGCTTAAGGTTTGTGTCCCTGAATCATGAGCTGAGCTTCTCTCCAGCGGTCTGCTGCTGCTGCTGATGCAGAAGAACTAGGCCAGATTTGACACACTTCACAACCCATGCTAACTCTGACACACATTACTGCTGCTCAGGGCACAGAGGAAGAAAGAAAAATAATGGCAACAAATGTCATTGCAACAGGAAGTTACTCAGACAGAAAATCTAGGATTGATCAGAATACTTCAAGTTTTCATCTATAATAAAACATGAATCTATTGGTGAAAAAATGTAATGAAATGTTTCACTAAATTCAAACTGCAGAAATGATGATCGGGTCATCGGATGCTAATATTATATAATAAGTCATTGGAGTTCTATGTTTAGGTTATAAAAGTACAAAAAATCCTTGAAATAAATTTCAAATTTCACTTAAATAAGTCAGAAATGGGTGAAAATGTTTTTGGTTCCCAAAAGTGTGGAGTCAAGCCTGTAAGTGGAAAAAAAAAAACATCTGCAGCTTCAAAGCTCAGACTCCTGCTGGTTTATCATCCTCTTTTCAAATGACCAGACATTTTTTCTTCTTCTTTCCTTTTTTTTCTTTTTTGCAAACACACTGAGTCATAAACAGGTACACCCGGCTTCACTTCCCCACCACAAACACTTTGCTTGCTCAGCACCAGACCAATGTAAACCATGTCGGCTGTGTAATAATCGGACCTGAATAGCTCCCTACCAGCTGTTATCTGTTTACTTCCAGGACAGACAGAGGCAGAGAGGCCCAGTTCAAAACACCACCATATGTTTAAAGCTTGTCTTGTGAACCCAAAACAGGATGTCACAGCAGGCCCTCCAGTCAGAGTAACCGACTGAGACTTGGCCATGCAGGAGGGCTTTGGCCTTAGTCTGTGTGGAGAAAGACAACTGAGAGTAAAAAAAAAAAAAAACATTATAAGCATGGTCAAATGTCCTGTTGTTTGGGTGCATTCATCTGCAAAACTTACATGTATGCATAGTTTTGTCTTTAGCAAGTTTAGCAGCCTGCAGAGGTGTTGCAAGATGTGATTCAACTAAATTGTGCAAGCTTAACCAGAGATTAGAGGATTACATCCACTTCTTCCTTTTGTACCTTTCTGTTAAAGACCCAAAGTTCTAGTATTAACACTATTTAGTTGTCACAATAATAAAAAATATAATTTTTCTTGTCATTTCTGAAAAATAGGAAGCTTGAAAGCTTCTAGACCTGCCTTATCTAAACATCTGAAAAGTTGTCAGTAGTTTTATTTGAATATGTAAAATTATTATCATTATTGCATTTTATCAGTGTATGATGAAGATGCAATAGTTTAACTAAACAAAGTAGTTTGCTTTTGTCAAAAAAAAAAATGTAAATCTGTGATTCAAACTACAATAAGGGTCCTTCATCCTATTAAAGAAAGCACACCTTTGGCTAAATTGTTTGAGTTTTATTCTTCTATACTTTATTGTCAGAAAAAAGGTGTTTTAATTGGCTCTCCATGAAAGGGATATGAATTGATGTTTTATTTTTAAACATCGGCCAAAATTTAAATAAAATATAGGATTGATTAATAAAAGCATCTTTTTATTTTATTTAGAGCACTAAAGTTGAATGCTAGCTGCACAAAGTCAAGCCTGAGTAGCTACTGTTGATTTAATGCTACACCATCAACGTAAATGCAAAGAGTTTTCATAATTAAAATGTGCTATAGTTCTTTTTTTTTTTCTTTGTTGGCAGCCCAATGATTCCACAGTATTTCCTTCCCACAGGTTTGCACAAGATTGCATCTTTCAAAAATTCTTTTGTTGAATCTCAATATTTTGAAAAATGTTAATACTTTTTAAGTAAGGGTTTAAATTTTTATTAACCTTAAGTTTCTGCAGTCTGATGCAGGGCCTTACGTGGATCTTATGCCAAGAAGCATCTGAATACAGTTTCCAATCTGCTATGCATAACACTTGTGTTTCATTATTCCTGGTATACAAACCAGCTACGCATTTTTCATTTCAGTTTTTGTTTTAAAAAAGTACTGGAAACGAAAGCCTCTGATCTCATATCTCAAAAAATGACGGCTACATTTTTAGATCTATCAGCCAAAATGAAACAAACGATCAGATGATATTTCTAGTCAGCCGCAGTAAGCTGGAATGTCTGAAAACAACGTCTGAGTCAGAAAGCAGACAAAAAGTGCAGGAGGAGGCTGTAGACAGGGCGGAGGGTCTGATAGCAGACGTAGCATCAGGCCGAACAGAGGCCTCCTTGTCTTCCAGCAACCTGCTGCAGCTCTCCAAACAGCATGCTATGCAAAAAATGCTAAAAGGATTAGCACCCAACTTCATGAGATAAAATCAAAAATAAAGTTTGATGAGGTGATGTAGAGGCTCAAGAGTCAAAGGTGAGACAAAGTTACACAAGTCTTCTGACACATAATATGTATATATAAATAATCATGCTTGATCAAAGTTATGTAATTGTCTTGTTGTGAAGGCTTATATGTAAAATACTGTGTGTAGATGTAAGCAACTGATTTCAACCCCTATTTTTCACATGATAAACATTGGTTTGGAACATTTTCATTATATGTGTGAGACCTAAACTTCCAAGTACAGCCAGTGATATGATATGAAACTCCACAAATGAGATCAGTTATGTGAAATCCATGGGAAAAGAAATCCATACTTGTGAGATGTGCAACCCACCAATTAAATATGGAACACAAAAAAAAAATCATGTGAATAAAAAAATAGGGGCATTGATCATGTGAAATTCAAGGGACAGCACTAATGTGAAATGTAAAAATTACGTGTGATGTTGCTATAAAACTGGATTGTAGACTTTTAGGATTGTAGGCTATAATAGCTGTAAAATAAAATATAAGAGATAACAGATAAACACAACACACTTAGTTGAGCTTTTCCTTTTTATTAGCTGTGTACATCATAGACACACCCTTTTTGGAATAAAACTTTCTCTTTTATAAACATTAACTTTTTAAAAATAAATCAAAACTGTTTGAGCCACTTTGTAAACATGCAATAAAAAAAGTACATGTAAAAGCTTTTTTTTCAGAAATGTGTCATGCACATGACAAATCCAGGGAAAAAGTATTTCTGACATGTATAAATAAACTAAGCCCATGAATTTTGGTTAGCGCTTAAACCACGAGTCCTCGCAGCCTAGCCTCCACATACTGTGACAGATTACAGCGGGATCCTCCAGGGCAGGCAATGGGAATGACCTTTTTTTTTTGGAGATAAAGTGTGAAGCAGTGAGAAATGGATGAACTGAGGTAGGATCGGTGCTTATCGGTGAGAGAAGGGCCCATTCGGACTCCGCTGTATGCCTTCATGGGACAGCTGCATGGGTTAAACATCTGTAAACTGGCAGATGCTAAAAGGTGACTCCCTTAGACATTTGTTTAAATGGCACAAGCTGTTTGCAGAGTTGAGCAAATCATTTTGAGAGATTCCTGTTTAAAGTCCAGCCAGGATTCCCTATTAACTCAGGTTTCCCATGTTTATTATAGTTTCTAACTTAGACACATTGACATGAGACACCAGGACACTGCATAAGATTTGATGACCTTGTACTTGACCTAAATGATTAGTTTGACCTTTTTACAAGTTTAAAGAAACAAAATACTAATTATTCATCAGTCCAAGCTTGTATATTTCTTGATGCACATGTTTCTCTGAATCCAGCTCAGTCTGAAACACACTAGTGATTTTTACACTCTTTAATTTTCTCTTTCTGTCCAGTTCAGTGCAACAACACACTCCAGAGGAGTGTCTTACATGTTTATTTGCAACGCCTGCGTTCAAGGAGTAAAAATTGTAAAAAAAAAAAATAACAAGAAAAAGAAACAGACTCAACTTGAACAGGTTGAAATTGGGAACACACATTTCACTTCACTCTCACAAAATCATAGAAACGTCGTAGCTTAGTGGTTTTCCATTTTGAAATACTTTGTTGAGGAAACATTGGCACCAAGAGTCACAACCTTTATGAAAGTTTCAAACATAAATACACACATGTATGTGCCTTTTTTAGGGGTTAAATTGGGAATTCAAGTCAGCTCAGAATCCAGTTCTGCCCAAAAAATACAAAGCTAAAAATATAGAGCATAATTAAACATCAATAACCCACTGATACTCACAAACTATGCTGGTTAGTTCACACTCATAAAATAGTCCCTAGGATACATAAATATAGCAACAAAATAAACAAAATGAAATGATCAGCAATTCTGCGGTTTGAGAAAAAAACAGTCTGTTTTGAGTAAAGGAAGAGTTATGTGCCCTGGAATGCTAATGACACTGATTTAAAGTTTGTGAAAACTAAAAACATTGCCAAGGCCGTTGATTTGCTGAATAGAAAAAAGTCCAACAAATATTTTACACACGATGTGGTACATGTATTAACCTTTGGGCTAATTGTCTACATGCTAACCTTTTATCTCATAATATCTTTATGATTTCCTTATTGTTGCCAATCATTATTTGCAGCGTTAATTGGAGCTTAATGTGGTTGTACTGGAATGATGTGAAATAAACTTGAACTGAATTGAGCTCCATTGGCTTTTACACAAACTGGACACATTCCTCTTGTAAAATCCTTTACATGCCATTTGTTAGGATTTGGTGTGAACAGGTATAAATGAGCCAAATCAAATTAAACACGGGGTATAAATGAATATGGGGACCAAATCCAGCTAAGTATAATTTAAAGAAAAATACAGTTTTATGTTGTAAAATTGTGTGTTCTTCTGTTCTTTGGTGGCTAACCGAAAATTAACTTTATATATGAAAAAATAATGAAAGTGATTTTGCTACAAAGGCTATTTGAAACTGACTTAATACTGTGATATCAGGTAACTTGATGTTTGGTTTATAAATCATTGCGGCAACATTAGATTCTTTAACTGATGAATGAAATAATGCAGCTAAATAATCCATACAGATAAATACTAGCTTCCAATGTATGTGAAAGTGAAAGGCTAAGCATTTCACAGCACACAGAGTTGAAGCTAAATTTTACAACATTAAACATTAAATCAGGCTCAGATTTTCCCATTTTAGGTAAATCAGGAAGATGATGGCTGAATCCAGTAATATAACATTAATTTCCCTAAATAAAAACCCTTTAACACCAATGACTAATAGGCCACTCATAAATAAGGAAGCAATATATTTCAAAGGCAGCATTAGAGTTTTGAACGCACTCGGGAATGATGGCATTAAAGTTCTGACTGGTGTATTTGATAAAATAGATGGCATCATGAGAAAAGAAAATGTGGAAATATGTTGCTAGCTTTTAAAGGATTCGCCCAGGAAAGTACAGCTATGATTCTAATGGTTCTTCTAAACGGACAATGAGCTTTTGCATATCACTAGTTATTCCTGAACCACCATATGGACAACAAGGGACTTTTTCTCAAACCCACAGAAATCCCTGGGCAAGTTTGACAAAGTATGTGCGAGCAAAGTGCCAAACAGAACTTGGCTCAGTCGCACCAGCTCTGTCCAGAGGAATGGGTCAAAATTCCAGCAAATATCCAGAAGTTTTTTGAAGGATTCTCAAGACTATTACTTGTTATATAGTTTAAAGGCAGCTCTACCAACTACTAAAGAAAGAAATGTATCATTAAAGAAACTTCAACATTTTAACATTTCCTGTCCGTTTTTTTTGTTTGGTATTTGAGAATCATAATGACCTTTTCTGGTAACACTAATCTAAATTTCTAAATATTCAGTTTGATTCAATGTAGGAAATTCAAAATATATTGTGTTACTTTTTATTCAGTGTATATTTACTTCTGGTTTTTAACTTCATATCCTTTATCTCCATACTATACGGTTGATTCTTTGGGTCCTTCCTGAGCTGCATTCTTGCACCCATACAGCCACTTGATGACTCGAGCATTTCTCTCAATGATGGACACACCAGTAGGGAGCTGCTCCGCCAGTTCTTCCTGAAACAGCCCATCCCCTGAGTGTCGGGAAAACTCGCTGGGTTCTGAGCCACCACAACCGTCCCCTCCTATGCTGCGCAGAGCCAACGAAAGCGTGTCTATGGAGCTGGCATTAGAAAGAAAATTTTGCCGTCCCAGACGCTCTATCATTTCCATGTCCAGTCCACAGTAATCAAAGAAATGCTCCTGCTCAGATAAGGCAACCGAACAGCGTAAGCGCAGGTCTGACTTGGAGCGCTGCAGTTCTCCAAACTGCCGTCTTTGCTGCATCGGGGATGCACGCTTCCATGGATCACTCTCATCCTCGCACCTGATGTTAATAACACCACTGTTTATTTGGTGACTGGGGCTATTTATAAAACCGTTTTTTGTGTTTTCTAATGCACAGTTAAGACCTGGACTTTGGGTAGACTCTAGGTTGCGTTCTTGGTCTATCTTGCATGACTTTGGGGTTATTGGTCCTCCATCTGTATTGTCTTTGTCATTGGTCCAAGACATTCTCGAGTCCCCATCCCGTGATGGTGGCTTCTCCTCACCTATCACCATCTTCTGAACTCTTTCTCCTCCACCACTCTTCTCTCTCATTGAACCCTGAAAGAGGCGACGTACAAAACTATATCCCTTTATCTCCAAGTTATTGTTTTCACCCAGGCTGGTGCTGTTAGGGCTTTTGCACTCTTTCTTCTGCCTGTATATTAACAGGGAGTCTGGCCTCAGCATGCGTTTGCCAGTATTCCTTCTGAGAACGGGGGCACTGTGTGGTGCTACCAGGCTGGTATTTCCAGGTGTCCTGGGGCTTGGAGGCAATACTTTACTCACATTGCTTCTGTTATGCATTTTAACATCAGCAGAAGTATGCCTGTTCTCTTTTCTAGCATCATCGTTTTCATTTTCATCTTTTGAGGTGAAGGAGTCAGAGAGGGTAGAGAATGGAGTGTTGGATGAACGCCGGGGGGGAAGACGAGGGGTCAAACTACCAGGAACAGAGATAGCTCTCCGAGGCTGCGGAGGTGGCGTGGCACATGGCACAAGCACAGGCTCTTGTTTGGTGTTGATCACCTGCTGGCTTTTGACATATTTGGCTTTGTCAGCCTCAAGCCTCTCCACAGCGCTGACAGAACGGCCGTGACCCCCACCGTCAATCTGCCTGCGCAGGTAATCTGGACCCTTGTTGAGAAGCCTCAAAGGAGAGGGGGACCCAATTGGAGTAAGGGGTTTCATGTTACTTTATTGAGCTGGGAAAGACATTAAAAGCCCAGCTCTTAGACTGGCTTAGAACTTCCGGCTCCCACGGTGAGTTGCTGCCTCCACTGGTTTTAGAGAAGTTTGTAGGAGTAAGAAACTGCAGAGACTCTCATTCTTTTTTCTCACAATCTTTTTCAAAGGGTTATAAAGTGGCAATCCAAGTGACCACAAAGTCCAAGTTTGTTGCTATGTTTCTATAGATAGGTTACAGTCTCTTTGTCGGACGGTGGAGGAGCTCAGACTAATTGATATCTCTATCTAGTATTTACCCAGGCATTTGACCGGGCAGGGACAGAGAAGTGCTTTTTTTGTCAGCCAACAGTGCTCCTAAATAAGATGCTCCCTGCCCACAGCGTGGCAGAAATAGGCAGGGGTGCACTTTGAAAGGATTACTTCTTCCTCCCCCACTTTTCCCTTCTCTCCTTTCGTCTCTTAACTGCACCCTTTAGTGTTGATCTTCTTGGTGGCGGCTGCCTGGAGAAATTAGATATAACTGCCTCAAATATTTGTTTAGTGCAGATCTTCTCAAGGGATGTAGGTCAAGCCTTGTTGTTTACCATCCGTCCTGGATGAGTTGACCTGAGGGTCATCGGCACCAAGACACTTAGTCCACTGATGGCAAAGAAGCAGCTTGTCCTCGTCCTAACCTTGGCTGTGGAGAATCCTGACAAAGACAGAGAAAAAAGGGGTATTAGTTGGACGTGCTTCTCTCTAGGGCAGGCAGCAGAGACCAGATGGCAAAAACGAAAGAGGTCCCTAAAGCTCTGCTCAGCTTGAGCTTATTTAAGGCCAGAGGGGGCTGCATGAATGCAGCAGGCAGAAATATGGAGTCGACATATTTAAGCATTTAATCACCATCAGGCTTATATATAAATACAATAACAAGAGCCCTCGCAGGTCATCTGAAATACAGACTGAATTGTGATAGAAAAAAATATAAAATAAGGAATCTGATGTCCAGACAGGATGATGGAATGTCTCCCTCTATCTTTTCTCTTTTTTTTACAGGAAGAGAGCCAGCCGCTTTCTTATTCTGTGGAGTCTTTTGTTTCAGCTATTTTTATCTTTAATATCAAGACAAACAATCTGTTTTGTCGCCAATTCATCTGCTTGTTTAAGTTAAGGCACTAATAAATCTTACCTTTAATGATCTGTACCAAAATAGTGTACAACTTTCAAACAGACCAGTGTAACTTGTCTAAAAAAATCCATTCTGAATACAAGAGTGAAGCTGTTGTAATTTGAACCCACTAAATGCTTCTCAAATGAAGCCTAAGTAACACGTTTCATAGTCTCTTTAGATTAACAAGCTAATAAAAGTTATATGAGAAACTTGAAACCATGCACACTACACTGTTGCACCATTGGTTACTATATATCTCACTATTATATTTCACATTAATTTTATGCTGTGTGTGCATTTGAGGGGCTAAAAAGCAGGTTGCACATGCTTATAACAGACTAGGTGCAACAGGAGGAGTATATTTAGCTAGAAAACATCCAAGCACGGTTATCATGTGTCTGCGTACATATGTCTGTGTGTGTGTGTGTGTGTCTGGATGTGCATGCAGACATGGACATTTGCATGTCCGCCTTTAGTTTTGCATCTGAGTGTGTGTGTTTTTGTGTGTGTGTCAGCATGAAATACAGAAAAAAATACCTTCTTATAAGTGGTATTGTCTGTCTGCAAACCAGAGCCCAAGTTCTCATGTGCCTCATGATCCGAAAAGGGAGAAAAGTGCTCATTGTTTTCTGTAGGTCAGCAGGAAGGCAGGGCTAGATCAGCTTTGGGTGTTATCAGCAGCTATTTTAGTTTTTCCTTTCCAACAAATTAAACAAAAACAGCATAGGGAAAATTTTATTTTAATTGCTATAAATCAGTCGTGGAGCCCTGGTCAGGGTCCACTATCCTGCATGATTTAGATGTATATCTGCTTTAAAACACCCAAATGATGGCCTCCGTTGACTGGCGAAGTCTGTTAATCAATAATTTATTTAAATCAGGGCTGTGTATGTATAGGGGAACCCCTAAAAAAGCTAGAAAGTCCTTCTACAAACCACCAGACTTGTGAAATCAAATTTTCACCTGAGTTCGGCACACACTCACCCGAAAGGATGTATCTGAAGAGCAGTAAACATAAAGCCGCAGTTGCTGCTTTAAAAAGCCAAACAAAGTTTTAACCCTGGATGACTACACTGTTAATTGAATTGTTTAGTTTTATTGATTGTACGTGTTTACGTTTGCCCAGCTTGCTTGTGTGTTACCAAGCAATTGAGAGGTTTTACTTTGTATTTTCCCCAAATGAGCTGTGTTTTACTTGCCACCATGTCCCTCTTCCAATCTGACTGAGGACAATCCAGCCAAATTTCTCCAAAGTCCCAGCTGAGGTAGACCAGTGGTCAGAGCAGTGGAAGTTTGCTCAGCCTTTTGAGTTCAAGATATTCTAACCATCAGACAACGCAGCTTTCTGACACATATCCAGTATGTTTTGGCCTTAAGGTGTTGGCGCAACACTTCAGTAGAACTTGACTCTAAAGGACTACTCAATGATGCAGGGGTTGGGCATCTTATACAACACACATCTAAATCAATCTGAGCTGCATGGAGAAAGTACAACAGGACATCTGCACACTTGCAATTGAGTGAGAAAATTTAATTGGGTTTCTAATTACAAACTGCTTTAAATAAACAACTCACTGCAAACAATAGCCTCTAACGACCCAGAAGGGATAGGCGGCTCGCCGATTTGCATTTGACTTGAATTGCTCCCAGGAGGATGACCCCTTATGGGCTTAAAAACAACACCTCCTATCTGAACTCTAAAGCTTCCAGAAACAAATTAACTGGACAAGCTTTGAAAGATATTCAGAAAAACTGAGCCAAAGTCAGACTACCTTTGATTTAGGTCTGTTGTACTTCCCATAATAAAGTATTGGGCACCGATTGACAACAAAGGCTTTTGGTTGTTCAGTTTAATAAAAATGTTTTACAAGTAATAGAATTTATTTCTCAGAACACTAAAACACAAAAATTTTATCTTATCTGATCATAAAACTTTTCTGCTCAAATATTTCATATAAAGCCTATTGTATCTAACTGTTAGGTTTCTAACTACTCTACTCTGCAGCTACTGCTACATATCCTGGTGCTACTGAAACTGTGGAAGAATAGCTAAAAATTCCACTGTAATCTACTTCCTTCAGTCTCCACACCCGTTCTAATGCTTGTCAAATGGCATGCCCTTAAATTACCTGAGTAATGGGGGCCCTGGCATGCTGGTTTGCTTTTCCAGATGTTGGAGCTTGGGAAAGCCAACCATTGTTTTGTCAGAGTTCCGGGAAAAATATCTCATGACAGGTGTGGCGGTAAAAGAGGAGACAGGCTTGGCATTAGACAAGACAAATGGATGGAAAAATGGGAGGAAGTCAGACTAAGGTTACAGTTCAAGTCTTTATGGCCCAGGGTATTGATGAACTGTTTCTCCTTTGGAGCATTTAGTTCCCCATTTTAGTTTAAAACACAAAAGAACCAACAGGTATTACCAGGAGACCAATAAAACTGAAGCCCAAAGTGAGTCTGCTTTATTGAAAAGAGTAAAAGGATAAAAGTAAAATAAAATAGAATGTAAGCAACATATTAAAGGAAAATTATCAGATTACTGCATACCTAGAAATGCTGTAGGTGTTTAAACAATAAAACAAACAGTAAATGAATTAAATTAACCCTATCTTGACCTTTAATTTCAAAATAAAGTAATAATCTTTGATATGTAAAAGGTCATGTAGGCAGTGACAGTACGGCTGACATCGGCTTCCTGTGTGAATAAACGCTAAAAAAAAGTTGTTAAAAGAATAAATAATGAAAATAGAGAAACTCCTTTTTGCATCCATTGTGTGCAATCTCTGAATATGAATACAAGGGCTTTAAGTTTCAAACTTTCACATGTAGGTACTGACTTTCCTACTGCATGTTAAAATTTTTTGTAAATCGTTACTTATTAATCACACAAACAGAAAAATTATTCCCTAAAATGCTGGTGAAGTGGTGCAACAAAAACAATTGTTTTTCATGCTAACAACTGGAGGACAATGTGCCCCATTAGCTTCATTGACTGTAATGAGCCAAATTAGTACCCAGCCCAGTCTCCTGTGATCTGAAAGCTTGTGAAAAGCGTGAGACTGCTTTCCAATTTCTCTTCTGCTTCATGACCTCTTTTGTCTCCCACTGTAGGTAGTCATTAACCCCTGAGCCTTTTACTTCTACTCTCATCTCTACAAAGAACATTGCTTTAGTCTTTACTTTCATAATGTGGCCATAACTTCTTTCCATGCACTCTCTTTCTGTCTCTACCCTCTCATTTCCCTCACTTCTTGTAAACACATGCCTGACCTCTCTCTGAATCCATGTCATACTGTCACTCTCAGTATGTGAAAGACAACTTTAAAAGAATTTTTTTTGAACCAACAGGTATTGTTGGTAAGTGTTTTTATCTACAGGGACTCTGGATACGTTAACTTCTCAGGAACCTATTTCAAAGTAAAACAATAACTGATATGGAGTGATGAACCAAAACAGAGATACTTCTGAAGTCATGTGAGTAAAAGTTAGCTGTTTCAGAACTGATTTAGAAAAGGTGTTTCCATCTCCTGTTTTACGCATGAACCCTTTCTCACAAAAGCTGAAAAACACCTTAAGCCAGCGTAAAAACACTTTTGCGAATTTTAGCGATTTATTAACATTTTTCTGTTTCCAACAAGTTTTGTGGATGCAATACTTCAAAATGTGCATTACAAAATCTGATGGGAATGCACCTTCTGCCTTTCTCCACATATTACCTCATATGTGCTCGAAATGGTCTGTTTGAAAAGATGTCCCCTAATGATGTCATCAGGGGAAATTAGTTGTCCAGAGCATCATCTGCAGCATCCCACCTATCAACCTATGGGCCTTTATCTTATGTTATTCTTTGCTCCTAGGCTATCTTTACGAACTCTGACTGGTTGTCATGGTTGAGTGTTGTGGGGGGGGCCAGCCTTCGGGAGGACGTGGAAACCCAAAACAGCTCATCCGGAGGAGGGAAGGATGAGGAGATTTTTGGTAATGGGACCCCGTGATCATTGTAAAAAATATATATGATCTGAATTCTTGATATAGCTTGTGTTACAACCAGGTTATTGTTCACAATAAAACAATAATTAATTTGGTATAGATGCCAACCAAATCAATACAGTTACATCAAATATGTGTTGATACTTCTATGAGTACTCACCTACTCTGAAGAAATAACCTTACAGGTATTATTTTTTTGTAAACAAATGTCACAAATGGGCGTTATTGCTCTTTAACTTTAACTTTATCCACTGAACCTTTGACCTCAACCGATAAAACACCATTAGTAGAAATAGCGGTATTATGATACAGAGACCAACCAATATATCAGTTGGCTGATATTTTGGAGAATATCAGTGTTTTTTTTTTTCTCATACCAGTATTGGGCCATGCATACATACAGGTATGTTCACTAATTTATTTGTGCATTTAGCAGCCATGCTTTAGAATCACGTAAGGCGCATGCATTATGGCATCCTCCATGGTTAATATCTTTTCATGCTTGAATTAATACTTGTGTAATGTTGGTTATCATTGTGTCATTTTTATCATGT